GTGCTACTTATGATTCCTTGGTGCCTCTATATTTTCCTCTTGTGCAGTGGGCATAAGAAACCCAGAGAATTTAAAGTCACTAAGCAAGACTAAACAAAAAATTTTGGGGAATTGCAGATGTTTGAGAGTCATAAGACAGACAGCAAGAATAGCTAAAACTGAGGATTCAGCAAATGAAAGTAGTATTCCTATCATATGTGAAAAGAGAATGTAGAGCAGGCAAGTCTGAACGACCTGTTAGGTCTGGTATTGTCAGCCCTTCCTAGGAGGTCAAGTTCACATAGCTGTGCACTTCATTCCTACAACAGAACTAATTTACATCAGCAAGCCTCAGCTGGCAAACAGGCACTGAAGAAGATGGAGCAGAGGGGATATTGGGATGTAGTTGTGGCAGTGCTGTCTTTTAATGTTTTGGTGCAGGCATAGGACAGTAGGAGAAGAGAGGAAGCAAGAATGTGTGAAGAGAAACGAGAAAAAATTACTGAACCCAACCTGAAGTGGAGAGGAAATGGAAAATCTTCTAAGCAGGGATGAACTAGTCAACCTTATGTGGAGAATTGAGGAGCCTTTCAGCTGGGGACACTGAAAATTGCTCAGTGAGACACAAAACTATCCTTTTCATGTCCTCAGACAGACTGTCAGGTCACTGTAAGTGAAGAAAACTGACAGCAAGCAAACCAGGTGACAGCAGAGAAGGAACACTCAGCCCTAGCTCCAAGGCAGGACTTTGCTTCTGCTAATTGTGAAAAATGTTCTTCATATTACAAGGTACCTTGTAAACACTTGGGAAGCTGCTCTCCAGTAATGTCTGGCACCAGCATGAGCTTCAAATAATCAGAAGTGTTGCTTAGCTCCAAGAATAAAAGCCCAGGAAAGCGCTTGAATAGCAAAAAGTAATTAAAAAACTTGAAAGGAAGGCACTGTTTAAAGTCACTGCTTTGAGACTTTTCCTGCCTTCCCCGCAGTGCACTGTCACTGACTGACAATGTAACACAGGCAGAACAGAAGCACTGCTCATTAATGCTGTGTCTTCTCTAGGAAGTGATTCCTATCAACAGCCAATGCCTTCCCTGTGCCAGGCCCAGCATGTGGCATGTGTAGGCTCATAGCTTCAGTGAGCAGCTACTGCAAAGGCCCACATTTATACAAGCAGTTACCTTCAAGACTGCTAATTCTGCCTGGGGCTTGAGCCATAGGGCCTTGTTGCTAACAGAGAGATGAGAGAGCCAGGTTTTGGTTTTTTTACCTCAATTTAATAAGTACAGAAGATCAGCCAGGGCATGTTGGGACAGCCAGTATCAGTCTTGACCTCTACCACTTCTGCCACAGCTTCTGAAGCCCATTCCCTCCTGGATGATGACCACATCACAGAGTGAGGCCTCATCCTGAATCATAATGCATTTGTCCTCATGCTCAGAGAGGATGATTTTGATTATATCTTTTGCTCCAGGACACATGGCCTTTGTCCCATGTGCCCCAGGATCTGGGATCTGCCTTGAGACTGGTAAGTAGCAATGCTGGCTGTGATCAGCAGCTCAGCCTCACTCACTGGCCTCAGCACCTACACCATGAGCGGGGTGGGCTCTGCCACAAGCCCCCCCTACTGGCCCTTCCTCTTTGGCTTCTTTCTTGCTGCCTGAGGTAGGTCCACAGCAAGTGAGGCCACTACTCAGAGTCCTTTCCCACGTTGTGGGTGAGCACATGGTGTACAAGGCTCTGGGGAAGGGTATAGCCCATACCACGGAGCTCACATTTTCAGGGCTTGCCAGCCAGGTGGGATTTCTGATGGCACCACAGCTTAGTGGCCAGTGTGTAGGACTTGCTGCACTGCTTGCAGGTGGAAGTGCATTCCCCCATGTGCAGGCATGCATGGTTGCACAAGGAGCTGGGGTTGGCCATGTGACACTCACATATGGCACCCCTTGGGACCAGCTGGGCCAATCCCAGTGGCCAAATGGATCTTCCTGTGCATGCAGAGAGACAGCGTGCAAAGTCCTTGCCACACTGCTGGCAGGACAAGGGGTGCTGGCCCTGGTGCTCCTGTAAATCTCACTTGGGGCAGCAAACCTTGTTACACTGGGTGCACTGAAATGGCCACACAGCCCCATGGGCCAACACGTGGGCCTTGAAGCTCCCTGCTGAACTATAGCTCTTGCCACACTGTGTGTGCAGAAGGGGCTTGTGGCCAGGGTGGACAAAGTAGTGCTTCTTGGGGTGGCAGAGCCACAGGAAGGCTTTATCATACTCTCTGGAACACTACCTGTGCTTTATCATCCCCTTTTGGGACAGAGATTTAGACGAGGGCCTGGGCTGCCAGACTAATCATCTACCAGCTCCATATACTTCTCCTGCCCCTCCAGTGAGCTCTTCCCCCCATGCTCTGGGAATGCCAGTCTGAAGTTCTTGGAAGCTTTGCTCTCCTTCTCACAAATCTCTACAGTCTGTCCTATAGGGCTGGGTTTCTGGCATTCCTGCCCAGTTGTCCTGCCACCAGAGTCCTGCAGACACTTCTGGAGTGGGCTGGCCAGAGCATGCACCTTGCATGGCTTGCCGACCAAAGGAGCACTGAATCAAACTACTTGAGGGAGACAACAGATCCAGACAGATGCTGCCTGCTGTCCCATTTACACTTTTTTTCTGCTGCAGATCTGGGAAACACACCCTTATCCAACTCTTCTTTGCACCTACCACTGGTCTTAATGGTTGAGATGGGCTCAACGTGCTGAGTCTCAGTCCCCAGCACCCTGGTTTGCCATGGTTTATGTTTGGAAGCTTCTTGCAGCCTGTGGAAATATTGGAGGACAGCCTGCTACCAGGGTCACTGAGGACTGTGGTTTCATCAGCTACCGCCTTGGAGACCTCGGGATCCCCTGCACAAACACAAAGGTGTAATGGGTGAATTATCGCTGGCTGTTATGTGACATGATTGCTGCTGGATAAGAGGAAGATGAACGCTGGAGATGGATGCTCTGCTATGCAGTAATCCTGGGGCTCTGCCATGAGAACCTTTACTTTTATGATTTTTTTTTCCTTTTAAACTGGGGAATAGGGACGAATCTCTGATTTCTCACCACAGACACAGTACCCGTGCAGCATTTCTATTGTTTCACGAGCAGTATTTCTAGGACGTATCGTCATGACTAGCATAAAGCAAGGCGACACGCTCTTCCTCGGCTGGTAGCTCCTAAAAGCGACTCGAAGTCCGGCCCGCCGGCCCGCAGGGGCTTCAGAACGCACGCATGCCGGGAATAGCTGAAGGCGCAAACGCGATGCTCGGCAAGGCCGGGCCGCTCACCGCCCCCACGAGAGGCTCCGCCTGCGGGGGGTGCCTCGGGCCCCCCGCGCCTCCTCGCCCCCTGGGCCTCGGGCGCTCCGTGCCGGCGGAACGCGGCGAGGGAGCGGCGGACGCGCCCGGACGGCGGCCGGCAGCGGGCGGGGCGGGGCGGGTTCCCCCGGCGGCGAGGCCGCGCTTCCGGCGAGCGGCGGTGACAGGCGGGCGGCGGCGGCTGGAGGTACCGGCACCGGCGGGGTGGCGGGGGGTGCCTGCTGGAGAGCGCGGCCGGGCCCTGCCTGCAGCAGCGGGGCCCGGCGGCCTGTCCTGGTGCTGCTGGGGCGGGGGAGCGGCCCGGCGGTGGGGCTGGGGCTGAGCGGGCCGGGGCTGGGCCCGGAGACGCGAGCGATCCACCCGGCTGTTGCCGGGCTCGCCCTGTGTGGGGGAGCGGCTCGGTTCGCCCGCGCTGAGCGCCTGGCGGGAAGAGCGCGGCTGCTGAAGCGCCGCGGGCACCTGGGCGGGGAGAGCCTGGCCGGCAGCCCGCGGTGTCCTGCTCACCGCTGATCGGTGCTGGCGGTGCAGGTACCGCCGGATCGGCGCTGCCGGGCCTGCTGCTGGCTGCTCCCGACCTGCGGCGGGGGGG